AGCAAAATGCTAGCTAACTAGCTTTCTAATGTACATCAATCATTAGCTGGCCAGTTAAGTGGTTAGTTAGCAAGTGTTTTACTACATAGCAAGAAACTAGCTAACCAGCTAGCTAATCTATGTTTCAGTAGCTAGCTAGTTACATCTGATAACTAATGATAGCAAAACGGAAGCTAATTAGCCAGCAAACAGTTGATGTACTTCAACTAGCTAGTTAGCCAGTGCTTGGCTAATATTAGCTAACTTATGATGTGACTAGACACTGTATCTTGTAACCATCTTCAAAATTTGGTTGTCTTTTCAACACAGACATGCCTAGCACGTAGCATAACTACTTACAGGACTTTGGTTCCAAAAGGGGCGGGACTTTGGAAGGGTCAATTAAGTTCATGCACCTTAACAGTGTAGATGAATTGCTTTGTCTACGAGGTGTCACCCCACACAGCCAAGTAGAGACTCACCTGGCAAGAGTCTCTACTGAATGATGAAATACATCAGGAGGTTGTTGGGACTAAAACATCTCACACTGCGACACATTCAAAACATGGAGGTGTGACACAAGCACAGTGAGACAGCTGAAAACTAAAAATGCCAGTGCATAGCCTGAATATGTACATTTTTATACTCTTTCATTATATAAAATGGCACAAAACAGAAAGTTAAGGAGGGAAATTGCGGAATTCAGAAGAAAAAAGAAAGAGAATGTCAATAAGCCTCACTTTAAAAAGAACCAGACAATTAGCCTTATTTTTTTTTCTTTTATCCATTACTGTTTGTTTCACTATTTCTCTCTTTCCACAGGAGATTGATAATGTACCATCAACTTGAAAAATGTCTTAATAAATAATCTGAAAATAACCAAACTCGATCCAAGCCCGAACAACAAATGAGACCGAATCAGACAAGATTACAATTTCAGATAATAGGCAGAAAAAAACGAAATAAAGTTTAAAATGAAAGAGGATTTGTGAATATTTTATCTAATATACTTCACAAAATATGATAAAATAAATATCCGTTCCTTTGTGAGTCGACTGTGCTGCCTTCAGGCTCTCAGCCGGACACCATGCAGCAGAGTCCGGGGAAGCGTCTCTTCCTCTGTCTGACCAGTGGGTGTGGAGTCAGATTCAACAAGCTGCTGTCATCTGAAACAAACAAACACTTTGTAATCAGGCCTCATCGTGTCATCCTGCTCTGTTTCCATCACAAAGAGATGTCCACTGCTTCCTGACCTTTCCATTTGTGGACCCTAAATATAATAATAATAATAATACATTTTATTTATAACACCCAAGGTCACCTTACAGGTTAAAACAAAATAAAATACATATAAAATTACAAAGA